ATCATGACCTGAGCCGAAGGCAGACGCCCAACAACTGAGCCACCCAGGCGCTCTACATTGGGATTTCAATATCAAGTTATCAGGGGGCACCTGGCTGGCTCAGTCAGTAGAGATGCGACTGTTGATCTCGGAGTTATGAGTTTGAGCTCCACATTGGGCATAGAGATTACTTAAAAACAAAAACAAAAAAACCTTAAATCAGGGTGCCTGGGTGGCTCAGTTGGTTGGGCAACTGCCTTTGGCTCAGGTCATGATCCTGGAGTCCCGGGATCGAGTCCCACATCGGGCTCCCTGCTCAGCAGGGAGTCTGCTTCTCCCTCTGACCCTCCTCCCTCTCGTGCTCTCTATCTCTCATTCTCTCACTCTCAATTAAATAAATAAAATCTTAAAAAAAAATCAAGTTATCAAAATAAATCCAAAGTAATTATCATTTGTGTTTTTTTTTTAAGATTATTTATTTATTTATTTGACAGAGAGAGAGAGAGAGATACAGCGAGAGAGGGAACACAAGCAGGGGGAGTGGGAGAGGGAGAAGCAGGCTTCCCGATGTGGGGCTCGATCCCAGGACCCTGGGATCATGACCGGAGCTGAAGGCAGATGCTTAACAACTGAGCCACCCAGGCGCCCCCAAAGTAACTATCATTTGTGAACCTAAAAGTACTGTTAAAAATGCAGTTTGTCAATTTAAAACGTTCTTAAAAAATTAAAAATGTTTTTAAAGTATTAACAGGGCAACTCGCTGGCTTAGTCAGTAGAGGATATGACTCGATCTCAGGATTCTAAGTTGAAGCCCCACATTGGGTGTAGAGATGACTTAAAAACAAAATCTCTAGGGGGCGCCAAGGTAGCTCGGTTAAATGACTCAGCCTGGGCCTTAATCTCAGGGTCATGGGTTCAGGCCCCCAAATTGGGTTCTATGAGTGTGGAGCCTACTTAAAAAAAATAAATAAATAAAATGAAATCTTTAAAAAAATCAATTAAAAATGAAAAATAAATTGTCTTACACTAAAAAAATTTGAAAACATGTCTATACAATTTCATCTAAAAAGCATGTAAGTTGGCTAAAAAGATATACTCAACAAGATAACATAAAGAAGTAGGAAATAATTAGATGGAATCCTAAATCCTATGCTTGATCCAAAACACCTATGCACATTTAGAGAACATGGGGAAATTTGGTAACACCCAAGACACGTGGGAAAGATTTGAGAAATTCAGTTGACCCCCGGTTCCCAATAATTACTAGTACAATGAAGCTGTAGAAAACGTGTCCAAATGCAGTCCTGGTCTCCGGAAGGAACAGGGGCACTCTTCATGGGCTAGATTCGTGGGTCATTTGTTCCTTCAATCACCAAAAGCTTCCTAAGGACCTTTTCTGCCAGGCTTTGCTCACAACCCTGGGGATAGAGATGCCCCACATTCTTGTCTTCCAGGTTCGAAACAGACAAGAAAGCAATGGTAGCAGGAGAGTGCGCATGTACTTAGGAGTCTCAGTGGGTTCAGCAAGCCCATGGAGGGAGTGGATGACATTTGAGTCGCCTTTCAAATAAGGAAGTGTTCGATGGAAATCATGGAATGTACCTGGGATTTCCTGGCAGTGGGAGCAGCAAAGATGTGAGGATGGGAAAATGACCACAGAGTTAGGAGAAATGACACCCCTTTTGGAAGCAAGGAGGGCTTCTCAGAGGAGGCGGCCAGCCTCAGCAGGAAAGCCAGAGAGGAGCAGGAGTGAGCCAGCAGGCTGCGTGGGTAATGGGTGGTGGATGCTCCTCCAAGTCAAGAGCCCACAGGTGGGAGAAAGTGCGGTGGGGTTTGGAGTGGAGGAGATCTCCATCCCCTAGGATCCTAACCATCCCTGCTAGAGCCCGGCCCCCACCATCACCCCAGGTACTTCCCTTCTGCCTTCTCTCCCTACCAGCAGGGGGCCTAGAAACCCAGAAGACACCAGGCTGAGGGGCTCAGGCCCCCAGCATCCCCACTTGCTCAGCCCAGGCCTGGGAGAGGCTCAGAGTGTTCAGTGCCCAAGAGTCTGACCAGGGTCTGGGAAGAAGGAATAAAGGAAAGGGGGCCTTACATTGTGGAGGGGCCTGGGCACTGGTGGGGAGAGTGATGAGGGGTCCCAGGAGTCCCACAGGAGGGGAGCAGGAGTGGGGGTGGTAAGGCGGCTCCCCTGGCCCATGTCCAAGGCACTCCCTTCTGCCCTGTTCCCAGTCTGATGCAGAAAGTGGTCCTGGTGTCTGGCCCCACCCGGATCCTTGGCACTGACCCTCAGCGGCTCTTGCCATGGGGTAGCCTGTCCTAGGTTCATTTTCCAGGATCAGGTCAGGCAAGGTGGCCTGAGCCGGGGGTGCACTGAGGCTGGGTTCGGAGTGAATGTGCTTGGCCCCAAGTTCATGGCTGTGGTGGGTCGCAAGCCCCTTCCTGTCCTCTCTGGTTCAGCAGGGTGCATACTAGGAGGGAAGGAGGAGGTCTACAGTTTCTGTTCTGCCAACCTCTCTGGTTAGAGCAGCAGAACTGGGCTGAAGGACTCCACTGGAGAGGGGCCCATGGGGTCTCCTGGGCTGCCATGGGCTTATCAGCCAGGCCAAAATGCTTACTTGTGGAGTGACCAGGGGTCTGAGCTTTGGCTTCTCCAACTGTCCAATGAAGTTGCCATCCTTACTCTGCCTCTTCTGTGGGGTCACTGATCCCATGGGTGAGGGCTGGCTGGGTGAGGGCTGGCTGGGTGAGGGAAGGAGGTATGTGGGCTGGCACCGCCCTCTGGTGGTTATAGCTACAGTTGCCTTGCAAGGTGCTGGGGGGGGGCGCGGGTAGAGGGTGCAGTCTACTGGGAGCCTGAGGGTCCCCTTCAGCTCTGTCTTCTCCACTCCACTTTCTTCTTCTTCACCCCAAACTTCCCAGGGTCCTCAGGGCTGCTTTCTCATGTGCAAGAATAATTCAATTCAGCAAACATCCATTCAGTAGGAATAGAATGGGCCCCTATTGTATGTCCTGTTCTGTGCACGCCCTGTATCTCAAATGAATAAATAAATCTTAAAAAAAAAAAAAGGTACACAGGGGAAAAAAGACAAATTACATTCAGGGAAATAAAGAGAAGAATGAATTCGAGTCCCAGTTGAGATGTGCTTTAAGAATAAAATGCCCAGGGCGCCTGGGTGGCTCAGTTGGTTAAGCGACTGCCTTCGCTATTGCCTCAGGTCATGATCCTAGAGTCCCGGGATCGAGTCCCGCATCAGGCTCCCTGCTCGGCGGGGAGTCTGCTTCTCCCTCTGACCCTCTTCCCTCTCATGCTCTCTCTCTCTCTCATTCTCTCTCTCTCTCAAATAAATAAATAAAATCTTTAAAAAAAAAAAAGAATAAAATGCCCAGGGTGCCTGGGTGGCTCAGTCAGTTAAGCATCTGCCTTTTCTCTCTCTCAAATAAATAAATAAATAAAATCTTTTTTTTTTTTAAGATTTTATTTATTTATTTGAGAGAGAGCATGAAAGAGCACCAGCAGAGGGAGCAGCAGAGGGAGAGGGAGGGAGAGAAAGAGAGAAGCAGGCCCCCTGCTGAGCAGGGAGCCCAGACCCCAGGATCATGACCTGAGCCGAAGGCAGACGCTTAACCATCTGAGCCACCCAGGCGCCCAATAAATAAAATCTTAAAAAAAAAAAAAGAATAAAATGCACAGTCAGTCTAGTATAAAGAATGTAAAAATATAATCTCATTAATAATTTTTTATGTTGATTACATGTTGAAGTGATATTTTGGAGATACTGGATTAAATAAAATATATTATTAAAACTGATTTTAGGGCACCTCGCTGGCTCAGTCTTGATCTCGGGGTCATGAGTTTGAGCCCCAGGATGGGTGTGGAGCTTACTTAGAATTAAGAAGAAAAAAAGTTTCAAAAATGAAATAAAATAGGGGGCACCTGGGTGGCTCAGTCGGTTGAGCATCTGCCTTCGGCTCAGGTCATGATCCCAGGGTCCTGGGACTGAGCCCCGCCTGGGGCTCCCTGCTCAGCGGGGAGCTTGCTTCTCCCTCTCCTGCTCTCCCTGTTTGTGCGTGCTCTCTCTCTGTGTTAAATAAATAATCTTTTTTAAAAGGATTTTATTTATTTATTTATTTATTTAATATTTATATATCGTAGGGACTCAGTAAATATTTGTCAAATGAATGAATGGACCCAGATGGAAGGAAACATTCTTACCACAATGCTTCTCCATGGGAAAGCTGGTGGACAGGGCAGTCTGATCTTCGTTCCTGGTTTTGTCTCTTGTTCCATGCTGTGTCATGGACACCTGGCCCCCAAGGCGCGTTGTCAGCACTAGAAACCTCTGTCCCAGGTGTAGCCCTTGGGCAGTAGCCCCTGTTCTGGGCTCAGGCTTAGCGTGGTGGCTGGGGGGAAGGGGCTCCTGGAATTCCTTAGAAATGGATTCATGTGGAGGGGGCAGGGAGGTTATCACAAAAATATGGAAGAGAGAGAACGAGGCCTCAACAGCAGAGGGGCTGGCGAGGAGACTGCTCATTTGAGAAATATTTAGGAGGTAAATCAAGCAGGACAGGTGATTGACTGGTTATTGAAGGGAAGAAAATTGGGGCACCAAGAATGATTCTAAGGCTTTAAAAGAATTAGTGCTACAACCATCTCTTTCTGGCCGGCAGGTTCTTCCAGTCTAAAGGGACAGAAATGGCCACCGACCGACTCCTCTGCCGCCCCATCCAACTCATTCAAGACTTAGGGCGACTCTCGTAGGTACTGCCTCCCATGGCGCACTCTGAGGGACACGCTCAGGGGCCATGCGGGAAGAGGTCCGAGGAGTCTTCCTTCACCCGGGAGACCTCTAAGCGCAGTCTCCAGGAAGAACAGGTGTCTGCCAGGGTGGGAGGAGGTGGGCAAAGCGAATGCGGGCTGGAGGTAAAGCACAAGCAAAGGGAGTAAGACGAAGTGAGAAATAAGAAAGGCGGCTGTCGAGCGGCTGGAGCACGGGGCTCTGAGCGCAGGGACCGGTGTGATGCGCCAGACTGGGCAGCGCGTTGAGACCATACTGGAGTTTGGATTCATGTCCCAGCTACCGGAGAAAGCACAAAACTGCCCTAACTCCCGGGTCATACCCAGGGTGGGCAGCCGGCAACCCTGGCCGGAGCGGAGGGAGGGGGTGTCCCCAGCTAGGGGACCTCGAAGTCTCTGTACTCGAATTCCAGGGAAGCGGCGACTCGGGGCAGAACCATTCTCCGGAGGTGGAGAGGGGAGGAGAAGCCCTGCACTCGGAACCCGAGCCCACGGAACCGGCTGGAACCGCCATTCGACTCTTCTCCTTATTCTGATTTTGGCGCTCTGCTTCGCCACCAAGAGCTCCCCTCGCGCGCGACCCCCAGACCCGGGCCTCACTGGTTGCTCCCGGCCGCCCACTCCCGCGCGTGGTATGGCCCGGCGGGCGTCCACTCCCGGCGCTGGTTATAAAGGCCCGGCTGCGGCAGGCGACTGCGGACTCAAGATGCGTCCTAAGGTGTCGGGGCCCGGCGACGCGCGGCACCGGTTCAGACCCCGGGATCCGGCGGGAATCACCCTCGCATCCCCACTCGCAGCCAATCCCGCTCCAGAGCCCCCTGCGCAGCTTGCAGCCGCCTCCGCGCGGGCACCCGCGCCGGGACAGGGAGCAGGATCCAGATCCCCTTTCGTCTCGGGACGCCCAGCCGGAGCTCGCCCGACCTCCAAGGCGGGATCGGCGGCAGGAGCCCCACGCGCGTCCGCATTCTCAGCCGTCCGGCGGAATGCCCAGCCCGTGCCCGGCACCTCGGACGCGCCATGGACCCGCTTCATATTCCAGGGGCCCTTTGGTCCCCCGGCCATTGGCTTGGGGACCGGAAAGGCGGCGGGCATCTGGAAGACGCCGGCCGCCTACGTTGGCCGTCGGCCTGGGGTGTCGGGCCCCGAGCGTGCCGCCTTTATTCGGGAGCTGGAGGAAGGTAACCGGGGTCCCCGGGACCCCAGAGCCGGTGGGACGTAGGCATTTCCGTGGAGAAGGGGCCCCGTCGGCTCCGAGCGCCCCGCCCCTGCTGGCATTCAGTCTTATCGCTCTATCGACTTGCGATGTCACTGTCTGCGGTGCCTGTTGGGTCGCCTCTTGCCCATCTCCTCCTCCTTTCTGTGGTCTCCTGATGGTTGTCGGGGGCCGGGTCCAGGGGCTCTGCGCGCCCGTTGCTCCGCAGCTCTGCGCACTCTCAGGGCACCCCTCCCCAGGCTACCGCAGTGCCAGGAGAGGGGCAGGGGCCTGCGGGAGGGCGCTGCCCCGTGTGCTCTGAGCCTGCGCTGGCCCGCCGCGCGCGGCTGGGGAAGTGGGTGGGCGGAGGGGGAGGTTTTGTCAGCCGTTTGGCTGCAGGGGGTCAAAGCCGTGTTTTCCCCAGGCTAGGGATGGGCGGGGGCTCCGGTTTCGTCCCCTCGTAGCTTCTCCTGGGTGGCAGGACATCTCTGGATTTGGGTCTAGAGGCTCACGGATCCCCTACTGCAGTGCTGGAAAAGTCTCTTCCTTCTCTCCACACGCAACAGGTGCAGGGTGGGTGACTGTGTCTGTTTTACGACCCACGAGGCTCCAATGAGGCGCCCAAAGCCGCCCTCTGGGTAAGGGGTGATGAGCCAGTCTGTGGCTGCTTCCACTAGCCGCCTGCATTCTCCTAGGTGCCAGGGACCCAGGCGGCAGAGAACTCGGTTCCACCTGAGCTTGGAGGTCTGGGATCCTTCACCTCGCCCAGGCCCCTCCAGAACAAAAAAGAGTCCAGTTGGTCCTGGGAGCCGGGAAGGGAGTGCTGGGTTCAGGGAGTGTGTGTGGAGAGGATGTTGGGGTCAGGAAAGGAGCTCAGTCTTCTCCTCCCTTGTCGCTGACTCTTGTTGCTGGCGGAGAACTGGGGATAGGGCGGGAGACGGTGGGATGTGGGGTAGGATATGCCCCCCTTTTCCTGACCCAGGCGCACCACTTGTTTTTGCAGCACTGTGTCCTGACCGACCGCCACCAGTTAAGATCACCCAAGAAGATGTCAGACTGATGTTAAATCTGCTAGAGGAGGTGTGTACTGCCTTCCCTAGGGCCATCCTGAGCCTTAGCCAGGCTTCCGTTTTAATTCTGCCTGGGAGGGGTAGGAGTCCTGTCTGTTCTCTGCTTGACTATTTTTCTGGGGGCCAAGCTGGGGGTCCCTCTTATGATGTCCAGGCTGGCATTGCTCTTAGAGCCATCTGGTCTGAACTGCTCTTTTCTATAAGGGGAAACTGAGGCCCCCACGGTGGGTTGATGGCAGACTCTTTTCTAGTACCCTGGAAAACTAGCGTGTGGAAGGGTTTCCCTTAGGGGCCTAGCTTCCCTTTGACCCCTGTGTACTCCCTAGCTTCTCCCAGCTCTCTGGGAGATCCCAGAAAACAGGAAAGTATTCCCCATGGATGGGGATCCCCTCTGCAGAGAGAGCAGGACCTAAATACGGTGGCTCGCATTGGCCAGTCCCTGGCGAAACGGAACAGTGTTCTGATGGAGGAGAACAGCAAGCTGGAAGCCATGCTGGGCTCAGCCAGGGAGGAGGTAACTGGGCAGGGAGGAGGGGTAGGGGGTGCGTCATCTCAGACCTTCCTACGTCCCCTTCGTGCCACGACCTGTGCTTCCCCCACCCCCCTGCCTGCCTTCCGACAGGGATCCTCTCCCCCACTGGCAGATTTTGTACCTCAGACACCAGGTGAGCTTGCGAGATGATCTCCTCCAGCTCTACTCAGACTCTGATGAGGAGGAAGAGGAGGAGGAGGAGGAAGAGGAAGAGCGAGAGCAGCAGCATGATCATCCCTATGGAGCCTCTGAGCCGTGAGTGTCCTGCCTTTTCACCGGGGCAGCTCCTCTGTGCCTCAGTTTCCCCATTTGCAAACAGGGACACACACGGTGTACCTGCCAGCAGGGTTGCTGGGGCTACACGAGAGCCCGAGTGGGCGAACCCTGGGTTCCTCTCCCCCCCGCCCCCGTGCTGGGCCCTGACCCCCATCGCTCCCGCCGCTAGGACTTCTGTGCAGGAGTCCGAGTCGCCGCACTACTGCCCGAAGCTGGAAACACTGCAGGAGCAGCTGAGGCGGCTGGAGGAGGAGAACGAGCAGCTGAGAGAGGAGGGGAGGCTGTGGCAGGAGGGCACAGCGGCAGGCAGGGGCTGGTGACCCCCCTGCGCCTTCCTCTCTCCCTCCCTCCCTCCAGGCCTCTCACCTCGACGCCCTTGAGGAGGAGGAGCAGATGCTCATCCTGGATTGTGTGGAGCAGTTTTGTACGTGAAGCTGTAACTTGGGGGTAGAGGGCTGTCCCACGAAGCCGAGGGAAGAACTCAGAACTCACAGTTTGGAGACCTGAGTTCGAGGCCCACCCTGGCACTTCCTGGCTGTGGGAGCTTGGACAAGTTCCTTGACATCTCTGAAACCTCATCTTTAGAATGGGAAGGAATAATGTCAGCCCTCTGGACCTCTCCAGAGGCACAGCTGAGGACGTGCTTTGCACACACTGGAAAGAGCTGTGCAGAAGCTATGGGGCCCCTCTAAGCCTGTTTCATTTTGTCATTTGGGGCTTGGGAAGGACGGGCCTGGAAGCAAGGAAGAGAAGGAGCCGTGAGCGGCCAGACACCAGGCGAGGCACTGGGGCTGGGGCAGTGGCGGGTACCGTGTGTTGATGAAGATGAGGGAGGCACAGGGTTTGTCCCTGAGAAGCTCGAGTCTAGCTTTGAGATGCAGGTGCAAGATGGGAGCGGCTGAACTCATGCTGCTCGCCTTCCTGCAGGCCTGACCTTCCTTCCCTCTGGGTTCCCCAGCTCCCCGAATGGCCAGGCCCCTGGCATAGGAGCTGGGCCCCAAGTTCGGTTGCTTCCACCTCCTAAGGAAGGCTAAGTCTCTTTCCTCCTCCTCACCCCCCTGCCTCTACCCCAGGCCGGGTCTTAACTGGTCTCCTCTCCTGTACTGCTGTCTTTCCAGGTCCTTCTGCACACAGCCCAAAATTGGTTTTCTAAAACCAAATCTGACCATGTCATCCTCTGCCTAAAACCCCAAGCTTCCCACTGGCCAAAGGGTAACCTCAGCCCCCTCCCCCAGCCCCTGTGATCGGGGCCCTGCCCAGATCCGGAGCCCTCCCTCCCAGGGTTTTGTGATTGGCTCTGGGCCCCTCCACACCCTGTCTGGGAGCCTCATTTGCCCTTTTTGGCCTGGCTGAGTCCCACTTACCCTGCAGAGGCCTTAGCTTCGCAGACCGTGTAAGGCAGGACCGGGTGCCACTGTGACCCCCGGCGCACCCTTTACATGTGTTCCATCCTAGCCCAGAGTAGGCCCTGGTGGGATTTCCTTGCCCATCAGTGTCCCCACTAGACTTGAGCTCTGTGTGCCCTGGGACCAGGTCTCTAGGGCTGCTCGCCCAGGGCCTTGCTCCCTGTCACTCAACAGACATTTATTGGGATGAAGAGCCAGACAGGAATATGAAGCCCTGCGAACCCAGAGTCCCCCGCCCCAGCTGAAGGGTGGGGTGGACAGAGGCCTCAGGAGGGCCAGACTGGTCCCCAGAGGCCAGGCGAGCCAGTGCTGACTTTCTGTCCCCGCTTCCCCGCAGCTGAGGCCAGCCAGCAGATGGCCGAGCTGTCGGAGGTGCTGGCGCTCAGGATGGAGACCCATGACCAGCAGCGGAGGGAGGTCGCCCAGCTTCGGACCCAGGTCCTGACGCTGCAGCAGCGCTGTCAGACGGTGCGTCCGGGTGTGTGCAGGGCTCCCTGCTCCTGTCACGGCCCCCCGGGGCACCCAAGCCCCCTCCTCCCTGCCCTTGCCTCACGGAGCCCTCGGCTCAGCCAGGCCCCAGGCCCCGCTCTGCGGCAGTCAGAGTCGGAGGAGATTTCGGAGAGCATCTCGTTCTGCCCCCTCGTTGTTCCAGGGAGGGGACGCAGGCCCAGAGAGGGTCATGGGGTGTTCTAGGATGCATGACCCTCCCACCTGATGGGGCCTCATTCCATGTGACTTCCTGCTTCAGGGGTTGCCAAAGGCTCAGCGATGTGCCCGGGAGGACTTGCTAGAGGTGGTAGGGAGGCCTCGGGTGGGGCTGACTGGTCTCGGATCTGGCTGACCAGTCTCGGTCCTTCCAGTATGAAGCCCAGACTGAGAAGTTGCAACGGCAGCTGGCTTCGGAGAAGGAAATCCAGATGCGGCTCCAGGATGAGGTGAAGCTCCCCCTGACTCCTGCCCGGGCCTTTGAGAGCCCCTGGCCCAGAGCTGGGAACTCAAGGCCCCTTGGTCAGCTGGCTGACTCTCCTGGGAGGACGAGCTCCTTGAGCAGGCTCTGGGTCTGTCCCTTTGCACGCCCTGGGTGTCTGGCGAGGGGTCTGGCAGGTTCAGTTGGGGTCTGAGTGGAGTAGAGTCCAGGGACCTGCTGGGGGCACCCTGCATGTCATTATGTGGGTCTAGAGACTGGGCCACTTGCCTCTTAGCCCAGGCTTCCTGGCACGCTGGGGAGAGGGTGGGCAGGGTGTGCTGGGCGGGTGCGCCTGGGTCCCAACAGAACCTGCGGGTGGCTTTCCAGCTTCAGGACCTGCGGGAGAGGTACACGGAGTGTCGGGGCATGCTTACTGAGGCCCAGGAGGAGGCGAAGACCCTCTGCCAGCGAGCCCCGGTGTCCACTGGCCCTGTCACTCACTACACATACACTGTACCCGTGGTGAGGACCCCTGGCTGCCCACCTCCTGCTCTCTGTGCGCTCATGCCTCAGCCCTGCTGGCTGATTTCCATCCCCCGTCCCTTTCTGTCCCTGGAGGTAGGGGTTGGAGTTCTGTGGGGATGCCCTGCTAATATCCTCCTCTCCACCACAGGAGGCCCTTCCTGGTTTCCAGGAGACCCTGGCCGAGGAGCTCAGAATGTCTATAAGGAGGATTATCTCAGACCCTGTGTTTTTTATCGAAAGGTGTGCTGCTGGGGCCCCTAGGCCCTCGCCTGACGCGCGCTCACCTGCCCAGAGCGTGGAGGGGGTTTGCTTCTGACTTCTTCCTTCACTCATGACGCCCCCTTGTTAGCTGCCCTGTCCCCTCCCCCTCACCACCCTTTTTTCTGTCCACGTGTGTGGGCCCCTCATTTTTCCCTGGGATTTTTTCCCTGCTGGGGCCCCAGGAACTTTGCAGTTTCAGCTAATGTTGCCTTGGGACAGTGATGGCCCTTTTCTCTGTTGAAGGAATCACGGAACGGCTGCAGAGGAGATGTCACACCTGGGGTAAGCTGGCCAGGGGCTCCCCCATCACCGCCCTCACTTTTAGCAACCAGACAACCATCTATGACCCTGCCACCCTGGAGAATGCCCCACTCTCTGAGCTGGCTGGGCTGAGGTGTTCTGGGAAGGGGCTGCCCCCTTTTCCTTCTGATCTTGCCCCATAGTTGGCCATCTGACTTAGGCTGTTCCCAGTGGGGACTGAAGGCTTCCCTTCACCTCACCAGAGACTGAGAGGAGAATGAGCACTGGCCCAGGAGCTGGGAACGTCTGGGACTTGAGTCCCCGCTTGATCCCTTTAATTGGCTGTGTGTCTTTGGGCAAATTGCTTGACCAGTCTGAGCCTTACTAAAATGGATTTGTTCCTATGGGGCAACTAGCTGTGGGCTGGGCCGTGAAGGTTAGATCATGGAGAAGAATATTATCCTTGCTGCTCTGGGTTGTGCACAGGGTGGTGGTGGGCTGTACCAGGGGAAGGCGGGGCTTGTGCAGTGGGGGTGACCATTCTCCCTCCTTACCTGGTGCCTGGGCTGGGTGTCTGAAGCCTGGAGGCTGGTACGCAGCTCCCCTTTCCCCTGGCTGGGACAGAAGTGGGGAGTAGCCGTCGGGTCTTGTGGGTAGACTGGAGCAGAGAGCAGGGGAGCTCCTCAGCCCTGGTGGCTGGAGATGTCCCGGGGGAGTGGAAGAACGTGGCAGAAAGACGTTCCTGTCTCCCTGGCCAGGTACAAGCTGTGCTGCGGTGCGGCACGAGAGCAGGAATGGGGGTTCGAGGCTGAGAGGGGGTTAATGACAGCAGAGGATTTTGTGCCTTCGGAGGAGCTGGGGGCCGCAGAAGAGGGGGTGTCAGCTGAGGAGGGGTTGACAGAAGAGGCGGAGCTGGTGTCGGAGGACGCTGAGGCCTGGGAGGCCGTAGAGCCGGAGCTGGATGAGGCGACGCAGACGAACGCAGTGACCTCAACCCTGGCAGCCAGCGGCTTGGGCCCCTCTCACCTAAGCATGAGGCGTGTCCTCCGGCAGCTGGCTAACTGGCAGGACTTGGGGTACGGGTGGCCGCTGAGGCAGAAGATGCTCCAGGAAGGTGAGTGCTCCCGCAGGGGCCTCCCTCTGGCCAGCTGGACGAGCTGCAGATCATCAAGCCGATGAAAGGGGAGGGTAGGTGAGCCCCCCAGGTGCTCACTTACCCTGGCCTGGCCCCACGCAGCTTGCTGATTTGCATGGACTTTTCATATCATTTGCATAGGCACTGGGGATCTGTGGCCCCAGGGCTCATTTATGTGGAATTGGCATAAGATTCCAGAGCTCTACCCCCTTTTCTCCTGGGGAGCTGGGCTGGGCGTCAAGACCGGGGCTGCTGCCCTCCATTCCACCTCAGCTTCCTGTCTCTGCCACCCCCAGCCCCAAGGCTCCCCAACCCTGCAGCAGTGGCAGCAGCAGGCCAAGACAATGTGGGGGACGGGGTGCAGAGCAGCACCCTGGGGTGCTGACCCAGGACTTTCAGAGACTGGAGGAGGACAGGGTCAACCACCCTCCCAGGGCCTGGGAGGAAGACAGGGGTCTTCTGGTGCCACCCAGGCCATTGGGACAAAGGCCTCTGCCAGCAAGGGTGGTCGGACCGGTCCCCTGGGTGAGTCTGAAGATGGGCTAGGGTCTCCTCCAGGGTGGTGGAGGGTGGGTCAGGGTCTCCTCTCCCCAGCTAGAAACCCCAAGGTTTGGGGAGCTACACCTGCTGAGTGCCGGCTGCCTTCAGGGAGCTCACAGAGATGCATTGTTTCCTTTAGTTGTCACACCCTGTAGGTAGGAGTTATTGTCCCCCTTTGTCAGGTGAGAACAGAGCTAAAGTAACTCACTGGAGGTCACACAGCTGGAGTGGATCTGAGCCTGTTCTGTTCACTGCTATGCCATAATGACTTTCCTGGCCTATCCCTCCCCTCAGACCCGGTCCTGGTGCCTGCCTAGCCTGCTCAGTCAGCTGTGAAATTTAGAGCCTGCTGCTAGCCTCACCATCATAGGTGGCCTGCCCCCACTCTGATGGCGCTTTGGTCACTGCTGGGCAGCCTCATCAGGGTCGCCATGGAAGGTTGTGCAGTCTGTATACTGAACAGTGACCTCTATGGCGGGCCGGTGGGCAGCCTGCACAATGATCAGTCGTGGCTCTCTTTCTCAATAGCTGACAAGACCTCAGCCCCTGCCCACTGTGCAGGCCCCCAATTCACCTCCACTCCCCTTCTCTTCCAGGCTTTGCTGTGTCCCAGCAGCCTGCAGAGGCCCCACAGACAGCCTGAGGCCCCTCCTTCAGCTGCCTGGTCAAGTCCCACCTGCCCCAGAAACCTCCTTCCTATCCTCCCAAACGGGACCCTCCTGTCTGTCACCAGTGCACCTTCTGTCCTGATGAACCTGGGCTGGGGCTTGAGGACTTTTCTGAGCTAGGGGACCCCGGCCCTCTCTCTGCAGCTGGTGCAAAATCTGTGGCGGCTGGGGCTGGAGTCACGTGCTAGCCCAGGGGCTGGTGGAAGCCCCGGGAGGAGGCCTGGCAGCTGCCTGACCTGGCTCTGAGCTGGGCTGGGGGTGGGGCTCGGGCCCTGGTGCGGGAAGGTGTTCTGATGACCCTCCTGACAACATGCCCTTGACCCCCAAGTTAAAGGTGGCCCCTGAGTTCTTGCTGACTTTCAGGGACCTGGCCCTCTTCCTCCATTCTTGGCCCTTCCTTCTCAGTCCCTCGCTATTGTTGGTAACCAAGAGTGTCTCTACGTGTGGGTGAGGGGTCCCTCTGTCCCCTGGGGGCCTCCTCCCCGCCTCCCTGCCTGTGGCCCTTGAGTGTCCAGGCTCCCCACCCAAGTCACTCCCTCCCTGCTGTCCTCCCCTCAGTGCTCCTCGTTTCTTCATTCCAGATGTTCTGCCCTTTCCCACTCTTTACTCCTAAACAGCTGGAGTCTGGGGCTTAGGACCCCCATTGGTCTGGCCCCGCTCCCTCTTGTGCTAACCGCTCTTCTGTTCTTCTGTTGCTTGTCAGCCCGTACACCTGCCAATGCAGGAAATAAAGGACCTGTGCGCTACCTGGCCCACGCTCCGGCATCTTTCTCTGGGAGTGTGCGCGCGTGCATGCAGCTGTGCTGGGGCAAAGCTGTGGAGAGACGGACGGTGGGCTCCAATACTGAATCATGTGCCACGGGCTTTTGTTAAATACATGGCCTGGTCACATCAACAACCCCTGTGGAGTGGTGGGTGATCTGATAAACGGTTGTCGGAGGAGGAAACAGGCCCAGGCAGGTTAAGTGACCCTTGCAAGGGTCTAAGAGCCAGCTGCGGACCTGGGATGTGAACCCAAGCCCTCAGGCCTCCCGAGCCTGTGCTCAGAGAGACTCCCTTCCCTATTTTTCTGCTCCAGGGATTCTGGCCCAGTGCCCTGGCTGCGAGGGGTAAGGCACGGGCAAGAGTCACCCACTGTCTTAGGTAGAGGGCCCTCAGACCTGGAGTCAGACCTGCAACAGCATTTGAAAACAAGTGGTTTGTTTGGAAGCTGATCCAGGAAGCATTCCTGTGGGGAGTGGGGAATTGAGAAGGAAGGAAGTTAAAGGGTGTGCTAGTCACTGGGGCTTAATCCTACTGGGGAACTCTGGGAAGAAGTATAGCCCTTTGCTACATGGGTGTGGTCTGTGGACCAGCGTCATCGGCATCTCCTGGGAGCTTGTCAGAAATGCAGATTCTCAGGTCCCACCCCAGACTTATAGAGTCAGAATCTGCATGGTCACAAGGACCCCAGGGAATGCACATGCGTGGTAAAGTTTGGGACCCACTGAGATGGAGCCAACTCAGTTATCTCCCCCAAGGGATGAGGAAGCTGGGCATGCACCGCCCAGCTGACATTTGGCACTGGCAGCCTTGGGCATTAACATCACACTCTGTGCTCCATGTGTGGGTAAGGAAAAGCCCCCTGGCAGAGAATTTTTTTTTTAAAGATTTATTTATTTTAGAGAGAGAGTGTGTGAGCAGGGAGAGGGGCAGAGGGAGAGAGAGAGAGAAGCAGACCCCTTGCTGAGCACAGAGCCCGATGACAGCTGAAACCAAGAGTCAGATGCTTAACCAACTGAGCCACCCAGGCGCCCCCAAGAATATTGATGCTTCTAGTGGACCATGGACAGCACATGCGGGAATGGATATTTTTAAATGGTTACACTTTATGTATGTATGTATGTAGCCTACATGCCCAGCATGGAACCCAACGTGGGGCTTGAACTCTCGACCCTGAGATCAAGAGTTGCATGCTGTACTGACCGACCGAGCCAGCCAGATGAGGCGCCGCAATGCCCTCTCTCTTTAACGTGGGTGGAGGCGTGATGGCATTTGGGGTTCTCTGGTGTGGCAGCTCAGGCCCTGTACACAACGGCTTTTGAAATATCTGGGTGTGCCTCCTTCCCCAGTGTACAATTACACTGATAAATGGCAACTTCTGAGAATTGATGCAGATTTGTAAACCAGGCAGTGGATCATGATTTTCCATTTTGGCAGCTGACATCAGCCTTGGGCTCATCTGCTGTTGATCCGTTCTCTTTGTATAAGGCAAACAATGCCCTTCCTGGCCACCCATAGATCTCAAGTTTTGTTTTGTTTTTTTTTTTTAAAGATTTTATTTATTTATTTTGACATAGAGACAGCGAGAGAGGGAACACAAGCGGGGGAGTGGGAGAGGGAGAAGCAGGCTCCCCGCGGAGCAGGGAGCCCGATGCGGGGCTCGATCCCAGGACCCTGGGATCATGACCTGAGCTGAAGGCAGACGCTTAACGACTGAGCCACCCAGGCGCCCCAGATCTCTCAAATTTAGGGGTACCATGGTCTGAGCCACCGCTGCAAACCCTGTGGGTTAAGGTCCCCTGGTAATTATGTCCACTTTGCCTCCGAGGGTTAAGTGCTGCCACTCCCCTCTGTCCTGCAATCCTCTCATCCCCACGGACCGTAAGTAGCCTGCGGCCATAGGAGCATCGCCTACATCAACCCCGGCCCACAGAGGACAGCCTCCGCTGAGCTCAACAATGCTTACTTGTCCTAACAGGTTCCTTATCTCCTCCGGGAAAGGACTGTTCTCTGGACCCTGGCAGGGCTGTAATCATGTGGTGGATGCTCTTGTCTTACTCGACAACTCATTCTAACATGCCTACCCGCCTTTTGACTCCTTCCCCGGTCCTCTGCTGGGGCAGTTCGGGCACTTCACTTGCTACAGACTTTCAGGGAGTGCCCCCCCAGCGAGGCATTAGGCCTGGCTCTGCGTGTCCTTGCCAGGAGCTGAAAGCCTGAGTAATGGGAGACTGTTTCCCTCTCCCGTATCAACAAACTGTCCCTATGCAGTCTCCAGCCCGTCTCCTTGGTCTGCCAGCCTCGAAAATCCCCTCCTGTGTGCTCTCCCGATTCCTGCTGCAACATGTTATCCGGCTTATTCAGGTCCTGCAGTATTTATTATTTCGGGTGAATAATCCCTTTCCCCCCATGTTTGGGACAGTGCTTCTGCACATCCTAAGACTTGACCCTAGTTTTTAGTGTGGAAACCCTGAAGGGAGGCAGGGGTAGATCTTGAGAAGTGAGACAGGGAAGGGAGGGCAGTCAACAAAGGATGTCCTCGAGCAGCTACCTGCTGTGGCTAAGCGGGGCTCAGTCCTGCGGAGGAATTCTGGGAGACAGAGCTGAATACATGTCCGAGTCAGCCCGCCCGAGGGGTGAGGGAGCTGGGGTATTGATTCTCCTGCTCTCATCCTTCACTGACTCACAGCTGCTTCTGGAGGTGCTAACTCTGCAGCATCTGAAGCCTGCCTTGCACTCGGAAGGCCCTCGGGGGAACAGTGGCATGTGCTTGTGGAAGGATGCTGCTGACAGGCAGAGAACTCTGAGGGAATATGGGTGAAACATCAACAGTGCCCGTGCTGGCCACTCACCCGGCCATCTGACGAATATTTATTGGATACCTCCTGTTCTTGGAACCAGGGATACAGCAGGGAAGAGGGACATGTGGTCCCCACTCTTACGGAGTTGCCCTTCTAACTGGGGAGGCAGACAATAAAGTAGCTAACGAGACAATGACAGGGTGTGAAACGTGCTCTAGAGAGCAACGTCAGAGACCCCGGGGCCGTCAGGGAGTACTGGGCGCTGTGTATGAA